CTATAAGAAAGTTACTCAATCTACAGGCTCTACTTCAGTGTCCGATACAGCTGTCCCACCCCAATAAGATTTGGTCCAATTATTTCTAGGACACACCCAACCCACTCTTCGTATCTTTACGTTAATATCTTTCTCTTCCTGAACCTTACAAGTTTCCAGACATTCCGTATTTTTTCAATCTCCACCCGACAGAAACAACTCGGCCCTTTGAAGATCTGTTTTCCTCCTTCATTTCCCATTGGCTGTCGACGAATCAAACGCAGCAATCTCCTTCGACTTTGTGCCTGTAGTGAAAACACCGGGAGGAACCTTTGTTTAAACATTTTGCCTTCAATATTGAACCAGTTAAAGTTTCCGAAACGTCGGCAGTACAGCTTGCATCTGCATCGTGCTATTGCGCGTCAAAATACACACTTCTCAGTTACTGCGCTGTGTAGTGTGGTAGAAGTGTTCCAACGTTTCAAAGATTCTTGCTGCTTCCATCATCAGAACGACCAGGGCGCCGAAACCCAGAATAGTATCGTCGTTGTATAACTTATATAGCTAAAACAGTGTTATAAAATAACCTAAGAATTAATCAAACAATTTTTCAGTCAACTGCAAACTGCTCTGTAGCTATGTGTGAAATGTGAATAATCATGTGTCGATATGCTTGCAGATCGACTATCACTTTTAATTTATTAACTTCCGACTGTAAATTCGCAGCTGAGTATTAATTTCTAGACCGTACTACCAAAAGCAATATAATCCAGTTAAACTGTAAGAAGTTTAGATCATTTGGTGCGACGCGTGACGGTTAAGTACGACAAAACTACTTGTCAGGGAAGTGTATACTCTTCTGATGTGCTGAGTACGATCAGGCCACTTAAGTTTAATCGAGTGTTACGAATCCTTCTCGCCGGCAGGGGGCAGGGTAAATGACAAGAAGTTTTTCAACTCTCTCCCTATCCAGGGGTGTCAATATCATCCTGTTAACCTGTCAGGGGGGATTTGTAATCTAGACTTTGTTTTACTGCCTGGGGTCACCCTTAATTTTTCGTTGTCCTTTACGCTTTACTACTCACTCGCGGGCTGTCTGCCTACAGACGAGGATAATTTGCTAACCTTTTATAAGAAACAGATTTACATGGGCCTATTACATAATTGCCTTTAACAAAATAATTTGTCACTTTTTAATCGTTCGCTTAAGATTTTGTTAAATTTGTTGAAATCTTTAATGAATGTGGAATGTTGTTTTAGGGTAAGTTAGTGTGTATGAGAAAGTAATAAATGCACAAGTTTTATCTTGAATCTTCATGACGAGGGGCAACTTGGAAGGCCTGTGAATAAAAAATGGATGTCAGTGAAGTTGAATATGTACATGTGACAAAATCAGGGCCTTGATGATGGAGGCAACAACACCTGTGAAACGTCGGTCAACTTCTAAGAGACTGCACGGCGCAACATCCCAGAAGACAGCCATTTTCGTACTCGACGAAGTGAGAACCTGAAATATCTTAACGTAATGCAAGTGGTGTACATAGTTACCACTGCCTCTGTGAAGAGTTGCGTTAGTGTGCAGGCCCCGTAGCGTATTTAATGCCCGATTAGTTTAGAACGTGAAACGTTTCGTATTTTTTTATGTTTCGCTTCACGTTTCAGCTGCTGCGTGTAGTGTGATTAATGTGATCTTGACCCCAGGCTCACGAACAACAATACACCCCCCTCCCCCGTCCAGAGCAGATGCCGAGCTGAGTCTGGCCATTCACACTACAACACAAAAACACTGAATGAAGGGAAGCCTGTATATGGGAAGTATGCTTTGGGGTATTTTTCTCCATTCACAGACATTGTGTGGCACCCGCCATTCATTCACGCAACCCGGTAAATACGTCCATTTTGAAAAGTTTATAAGCCACATGCCATGTTTCATGTCTGCTCCTGATCGATTTAATGTTTTTGTAATGTTCCATCAGCAGTGTAAAGTTGACAATATGTGGATTATCATCATCATTATATAAGATTATTATTATTATTATTATTATTATTATGTAAAATGACTGTCTTTGGAATGTGCCATACCTGAAATTATAATTTAATAAAATAAAATAATTATTTAACGTTGCTTTAAAATGGGGTACTTTTATTCACAGCCTTACACATTCCTAATTCGATCCCGTACTTTCATTAAACCGTATATAGTTTCTATAGTTGATAAAGCTTTGTTAAATGAGCTAAGGAGAAATATAAATTCCAGATTTATCTAGCACTTTTATTTTCCTCAGGTGCCAGTATAGTTTTTGTCTTAGCTGCCACGTACTTTGCTTTCAACATTGTTCCTGTGTTTGAGCTGTTATTGATTTCAAACCTCCCAGCGTTCCCTTCGTCTGTGCGGGGGGGGGGGGGAGTGGCGGCCGCGAAATATACATATAACATATATTCATGGAGTAGGACCTTTCGAGATTTGAATTAACTGGGGTAAAAGCAAACGAAGTTGACTGGATGAACGCACACTGAAACGAACATTGTTATAGGTCTTTAATATTTAGCGTCTCCATATTCTAAACGTGGTTACGTTGTATTGGCCGCACGTAACGAAAGAAAGCTAGAGGAAACCCTGGCGGTTGCTATAGGACAATTATGATGCCCCATAGAATGGACCGAAAAAGTATTCACTCTGAATTGATGATGAGGAGGAATTAACTTCAACGACAACTCTCCTTTCTATGTTTTGTTTTAGGGGTGGTGAAACGTTATAGTGTTATGCCTGAATAACAGACAATTTTATACAGATGTTGAAACGCGTAGTAGACAAACATTAAAAATATGAAAGATTAGTGAGTGTACAAAAACAATTGATTAATTATTTGATCAATTTCTTTGCTCTTGAGTCCGAATAAGTCAGAAGTAAAGACGCATCTACTTTCGCGAACGTGTTATGAGGATCGTAAGTCACGCCATTATGATACTTGTGAACTTGATGTTCAGATCTTAAAAATTATAGATATTTTATTGCGGTAATATTTTTTAAGAACATGGTCACGCTACGAGATATTTTACATCAATAATGACAACTGTTGAATTATTGTAATTTTACATGCGAAATATGTACACACATGCAATATTTAGTCAGTAGGATAAAGTCTCGCTGCCTCAGATCGCTTGTTCTTATGTCTCTCGAAACCTTAAGTAACTAGTTTGAATCCGGCGTACGTTACCTTCTAGATTTTAATGTCCTGCGTAAGAAGAAGCCTTTCAATGGATTAAGGTTAACACTTTGTCCAAGGAAACCTGCCAAATGCCTGAATTATTAATTCTTTGCTTTATTTATTTAACGACACTTTTTAGTAGCTCGGAATATATAGCGTCGAATGTGAGGATATTCGCTGTTGATTGATGAAGCTTTTGTAGCCTGCGTGGGATTCACTGCCAGAAAGCTCAGAACACGTGGTGCCTGGATGATGATTCGAACCATGCACCTCAGACGGGTTAAGGCTTGATAGCAATTTTCTTGTTGCAGATCACGATGTGGCAGAGGACCGGCGGTGAGAGTGAGTCTGGCGGGGGATGAGTTCGGGCGCGGCCTGCCTCCACCTCTAGCAACAGCTTTCACCTCCAGAACAAACAGCCGGTCCCGTCCATGGTGGGCGACAGGGAGGGGGATGGAGTGGGAGTTCGTTGGGAACTCGGAGATCTTCCCAACAATACCACCGGGGGAGACGACGCTGGAGGCGGCAGTGGGGGCGGAGGAAGCACCAAGGAGGTGCGATA